ATAATTAATGAATCAGGGTGTTGAGAAAGACTAACAATAAGTAAAGTCGAAACCTTCACCTATGTAAACTATCAAGAATATAATTGATTTTTTAACATCTTTATAATAGCTCGTTATTTTTGGCCTTTATAATTTGATCATTTGTTTATACAATCAACGAGCATCCACTTTATATTATTTAAATTTGTAAGCTAGGATAGGCAACTTTTGGTGATTGTTTGGTACATGTGCCAAAGTGTATCAGAGTGTATTACATACACTCGGCGTCATGAACGCTTTTACACCTGGGAATAGCTGTTAAGTTCGATATATTCCGACGGAAAAATTTGTTTTGTTAAAATAAATTTCCCTATTGGATATCTTTAGCGTTTTTCTTCAGGTGTAAAGGCATTCAATGAGTGTACACTCTGTCAGTGTTATGTCTATAGTCTAAGTCTAAACCTAAAATTACATTTGTCGTACGACAAATTTTTCAAGCATGTCGATTGGCTAAAGAATAGGAAAGTTCTTGAATCTCTAAAAATGATCTATTCTACAACCAATTGACATGCTTGAACAATTTGTCGTACGACAAATTTATTAAGTATGTTGATTGGCTACGAGCTAGAAAATTTCTAGATACTCGAGAACTTTTCTATCCTGCAACCAATCAACATGTTTAAAAAATTTGTCGTATGACAAATGTAATACCAGCCTAATAGCTAATAAATACTTTTTCTTGCATCATTTATAAATGAGCGAAACTTATTTTTATGAAATCATGTACCCTAACAATAATAAATATCGTTGTTTGGCTGGGCGTTAGAACAACGATGCATAGGAGTTAAAGTTGGAAAAAAACCAGTGAAGTTACATTATTTATAAATGGCTGCTTCTTTGTATGGTAATCGTTCACATAATAGTAATAACATTTATGAAAAAATAATGCCAGACGTTTCTATTAGACCAGAGGTTGCCAAAAGTGTTCAAAGTAATATTTTTTATCATTTAAAAATGCATATGATGTATAAATAATAAATGTGAAAGTACTACTTTGACCACATCTATAATAGCATCCTCTATGTTCTAACGAAAACTTCTGACATTATTTTCTCATAACTTAATTATTACTCGCACGCGCGTGCATTATGCATATCTTTAAATTAAACGGTAACATTCGCGAAAAATACAAAGCAATTCAAATGCGAACTCTAATAACGCTAGTCACTCTAAGACTGATGGAAAAGAACGATCCATAAACGCTTAAGACTGTTTTATAATTAATCGTAGACTTAAAATAAGGCATAGAAAAACTTAAGTTTTACTCGTAAAATGTATGGTAGAATTTCAAAAACCTTTTAAAATTCTTCAAAATGCCATGTTGTCCCACAATTACATGATTTTCAAGATAAACTTTAAGAGAAAATTCTCTCCACGTAGAACCAATCAAATTCAGGCCTCGAGAAAACATTATGGTAATATCGAAGCAGTAGCAATCATTAGAAAAAGACATTTGTATGAAGATTTTTGCAGTCTGCAATACACAAGATATTAGGAAATACAAAATGACTACTATCTTTGCTTGAAAATAAAAATATTGTTTTCAGATACATTTGTAATTATTTAAAATGTATGTATAATGAAATAAACGGAAAATAAAGAAAATAAATTAGAATAAAATACAAAAACAACCTAAATGAATTACTTTTATAAGCTTTTATAAACTCTTGAAAACTTTTGGTTATATGTATATGTAGATAGTCGAGTAACTCAGAATTGCTGAATCGAATAATTGTATCTGCGTCATTGTACTTCTAAGAAATATTTGAGCGATCAATTCTCACATGTTTTTGAATATTTAAAAAATTATTAACGCACATAAACATTTTTTGCCGCCCCAAATTTTGAGCCTTACGCTAGAGCATATACATATGTACTACTATCTAGTAACAGTATCATTCATATAGATCGGTATTCGATCATAGTCAAATCTTATACTTTTATCTTTAACTTATCTTTAACAATAAGACCGTCTTAAGATTATCTTTAGATACTCCATAGTCAATGAAAATGTTCCATATAGTATTTAAGATTGTCTTAAATACAATCTTAAGCTATTATGTAATATACAAACCAATCACAGGACCGTATTAGAATTTTAAACATTACTTAAGATGATCTTAAAATAAAAATGATTAATGAATACCGGCCTCTGAATTGCGTTTGCGCGTTTCTCACCGTTAAACGCGCACGCGGTGGGTTCTTATCGAATAGCGACATCATTCAGGGTTTACGCGTAAAATAAAATAATCCATAGTCACATGTATGTACACAAATTTAATTGTTTAACGTGTTAAGTAAACAATAATCTACGGATCATCGAACATCCATATTCCGTCAGAAATATTGAAAATTTTGTCTTGTTTGCAATTTTATTTTCAGTTACTACACTGCGCAACCAAAATTTCACACAACTTCAAATAATTGTAACTTCGCGAAAACTTATCGCATTTGAAAACTTTTTTATTTTAAAGCTAGAAATTTCTATTTTAAAGAAAATTCGTCGGATTTTGAACTTTTCTTTTTCCCTCTTCGTCATCTTTTTAAAAGTAAGGTCGTGCTTTGTCCATAAGAGTCCTTATCTCTGCTGTGACACACACGCACACGCACACGCACGCACGCACATGATGCGCAAAATCCGACCACCAACTTCCTCGTAGTACGCATTGGGTAATGTTAATCCTGGCAGCAACAGGCATAAGTCGACTAATTGTAAATGCACAGGTTTTGATACATTGTAACTCCACCAAAAAGAATCGCACGGATTTCAATTTTTTTAAATTTGTAAGTAGGGGAAAGTTTATATTTTACAATGACTCTTATAGAGTTTGCGAAAAAAATGTATCGCACCCCGTGAAGCGCGTCAAACTATGAAAAGTTTTACAAAACACGTCCTTACTTTTAAAGAGATAACGAAAAGGGAAAAAGAGAAGTTCAAAATCTGACGAGTTTTCTTTAAAGTAGAGATTTCTAGCTTAAAAATAAAAAAAATTTTCCAAATGTGATAAGTTTTTGCGAAGTTGCAATTATTTGAGTGAAATTTTGGTATAACTTTTTGTTGCGTTAATTTTGTTGCGCAATGTATTTAATTTGGACACAATTTTTAGGACGCTACGGAAAGTTAACAATGGTTTTGAAAATCTTTATTTTACGTCTATATAAAAAAATTAATATTGTATGTACGTATTGTGACCGCGAACTGAAATATTGCTTTTTGTCACTCAACGTAAACAACGGCATTCCTATTCATGTACGTAGGTGTCTTTCATGTCACTATGCAGTTAAACTGAAATGCACATCTAATCTATAAGTTTAAAGTTTTTATTTGCAGGACTGTTTGCAAAACGTTTGAAAAAATCAATCCTTTAATTTCTAATTTACATTAGTTATATTAAATACATGAAAGGTTCATGTAAATATTATAATAATGTAAACAACCTATGTAAACATAATCTTAAAATTTATCACGCAACCCAGTCATGATTCTCAAAGTATCAGTATCATTAATGTAGCATCGAACGCAGCAGTTACTCGACACAGAAAAAAAAAAGATATGAATATTCGGTATTTACTCACAACTATAGAGTTACGTGTATGTATAATATTGTACATACCTGATAAGAATCATGCATTCGTTGCATCGTCGATGCACCTTAATTGAAATGAAATATGGCAAGCTCTGGATGATCCTGGGCGCAGAAACCAGTCTCCAATGCTGAAATAACGATCTTGGTGTAATCGCGATTGTGTATGGAATTCATATTACGACGCACATTGTACGAGGCGCCTCCGATGATACTTCGGACATAAGATTCACTTTTATACAGTAATAATTCGCAAGAAACGCGGAGCGGTTAGAACGCGACCTTTCGACTTGACGCAGCACGTTCGGTAACTGATTCGGGATTCAATATTCTGTTTGTCAAAGCAGCAAACTAATCGCACATTGAGAAAAACCTATTAGTGTTTCCGAAGGTTAATTTTTCCGATTACGTTTTCCGATTAAATTATGGACACATCCGATGAAATTTATCCGATGAAATTTGGTTGAAAAACCGATCACATTTATCACCGGATATACAATTTAATTGGATATATCCGTTTGTTATTATGTAATTGGATTATCGGATTATATTTAATCGGACATTTTTCTCAGTGCAATAATTGTTTAACGCAGAAATTAAATTTGAAATAATTTAGTAGATAGTCTTGAATATAAGATCTGACTATGAATACCGGTCAATGAGCGATTCAATGGCTAGAAGGTGGGTGCAACTTTTTAATAAAGGACGCGTAAATGTGCACGATAATGAACGGAGTGGGCGACTGCCTGCAGTAAATGATGATATGGTGTATGCAGTTGAAAAAAAAGAGAGAACCTACGATTCACAACAATCTACTGGTTTAACGTTTATCCCATTCAAGAAACGGATCACCGATCAAACTTCACACGCGGCGCGCGACTTGGTTTCCTTAGGCATTGTAAATACGCACTATAAAACTTACACGTGAGAAAACTGTTTGCACGTAGCAGCATTGCCTTGCTAATGAATTAACAAACTCGCCGCGCCAGCGCAATAATGCGACACCAGTGCTACCGTGGCAACATTAAAAAACGGAACTTAATTTGTGGATATTCCTCGTAATTATATTATTAAATTTCACGCGTAATGACACATGATTTCGTGTGAGAGCGTTCAACTCTAATCCGCAGATCCTGGTCCTCTTTCCATACATACGTTACACATATAATATGACTTCAATTTTCGATCCCGATTCTCATTTTATTCCCATTCGATGAGAAACTTACAAATCTTAAAATATAAGATTGCGAGTTTTACTTGTAACAATTAAACTTACTAAGAAGCCGAAAGAAATTAAGCATCGGACAATGGTAAAAAATACTACAAATTGATGCGTATATAACGTATATGTATAAAATCTCGCAAAAAAAAGAACGGTTTGTTGTGTTACTTTGGGTAGGATATTTATTGCAAGAATCTGATTTAAATTCATTACGAACGATTATGAACATTTGAGAATATATTAAAAAGAAGGAGATTTTCGTAAACTTAAGGAATATTTGCGAGATAATCTTTAACGTTGGATGGGTCCAACTTTCTGAATCCGTTCGCGTCGCAAATGCCGACTTCGATATTGTCCGCGGTCATCTGTCCCTCGAAGCCTTCCTTTAACGTCAGGATGGCAGTGTGAACGGCATCGTCCAATTCCAGATCCTCGCTGTACCTCTTCTCGAGGAACGTTTTGCCGTTAACGAAATTTTTACCCATTGCGGTTGCCTTCCATGCGAAATATGTGCCGGACGGATCGCATTGGAACAGATAGGGCCTGTCGTTGTCCCAACCGCAGATCAGAAGAGACACTCCAAAGGGTCTAACACCTCTGCAAATTAACAACAATTTAATGTTACTGTTTGCTTACTTGTCTCTTACTATAGTTAAAGACTGTAAATTGAAATTTGCACCAAATAACTGTTTGAAAGTATTTAAATGAAAGGAAGCTTGGAACTCTAACAGGGTGTTTGTGCCACAATAATTACTTTATTGTGTAAATATTAAACGTTTCGGTCTGTCACCATGTAAAAAAAAGAAATATAATGTTCGCAACGCATGTCTCGCATAATAAATTAAACAATTAATAAAATTTATAAGGCTCTAATGTGAAAACACAAATATGAAGTGACAAAGGAGTAAGAGCCAAGACAGGACGTTAGTGTCTAAATAATTTTAATTTTAAGTCTATTGCGAAAAATAATACCTGACTTAAAATTAAAATTATTTAGACACTAACATCCTGTCTTAGCTCTTACCCTTTGTAATAAATTAAAGTCAATAATGTGAATTGCGCTCCGTCACAAAGATAGAGTCGGATACAAGAGCAGTAGTGCAGAGACTCGCAAAAATAATGTCATAATGTAAAACCAAGTCGAGTTTACATCAACAAAATTGGCAATTTCATTGTACCCTTTACATTAATTCTTACCGAGGTCTAATAACAGACCGAAATGTTTGATATTCATTCGATAAAATAATGATTACAACACCCTGTTACAGCTCCAAACTGTCTTCTTTCACAGGTTGATCCGTTAATTGTTAGAGCCTTGGATTTTCATGGAAATATACAATTGTTAACTTTGAGTGGAAATACAAATCACAAGATTTACAAGTTGGGCTACCTACATCTTGCCTTGTGACCCACATTGGCGGTTCTCTTATATTATTAAGAATATTCTTAAAGTCGCCAGCAGTAATAATAAATTAATAACATCGGTGATTTTTGTCGACCGTGTCTGGCAATTAAAATTCTTATTGCGAAAAATATTACCCCAGCCAGGATTCGAACCTGGGACCCCCCTACAATCCGTGACGGGTGTCTTAGCCAGCTCGACCACCGGGGCTTCTCTTATATTGTTTAGTTTTAGATAGGGGTCTTACTTGAAAGTTTATTATACAAATCACAGTGTTGAAAAACTCAGAGCTCACCCAGATTGAGTGTACTCTTGCATGACCATCGCGACGCGTTGCACAAGCTGTGCGGTCGGGATGGGTTCCCGATACACCAGGAGATACTGCTGTGCCATTTTCCGCGCTTGCTTCACTAGTAATCTGTAATCAGGGCCCATGCCACTGTAGACCATGCCGATATGCTTGGTAATCATTTCGACCTTGCTAACGCTATGTTCGTCGTAGAGGATGGACTTGTGCTTGTTCTCCGTAGCGAGAACGACGCCGTTTAACGCCTTGATGCCCACACTTGGCGCGCCGGCGGCTACCGCGGCCAAGGCATATTCTATTTGCACCAATTTGCCCGACGGACTGTAAAATACAACGTCATTAGTCGCACGAATTACATGACATAAATTATTGTAAATAATATTACAATACGGCATTTCTTGTGCGTTTAGATTTGGCACGTATACTCCGGAGAATTTGACGAGTCATCCTGTCAAACGTTACGCTTGGCGTTTTCAAGTACGCTCGGATAAAGTAATTGTTTAGTATTTGCCAACAAATCGCCGATTTTAAATAAAACGCTATTAATTAAATCAGAAATTTTCACTCGCGATAATTGGAGAATGTGCCGAGTGTAAAGCCGATTTAGAGGTTGGGAAACGTTAGGTTAGGTTAAGTTACGTTCAATCTATTTCCAATGGCATTCGTCTTTTATCACAAACACAGAATATTGGCTCGAAATATACTGTTTCGTGTAATAATTGTTACATTGGTCAAAATTCACTTACCTAAAAGTCGTTAACGAGAAACTGTACCGCTCCGAAGCCATGACAATCACTTTGCAACAGCACGATCAGAGATTTACTTGCGATATATACCACAGTCACGAATATCATGAAGCTTGGTAGGAGTCATGGATGTAGGAATAACTGGATGGAGCCATGGTGGAAAAAGAAAGGTGAGTCAAGGCGCAGCGTAATTCCACCGGCCAATAAGCTGTCACCATGTCAGCCATTACTGCGGGAAACCAGCAGATATTCAAAATAATAGAATGAAAAATACATTTTCTTGCATAAAGAAGTGGCCGTTTATTTATTTTTTCATGAACAAGCAAATTAGGATGCATTTTTATTTCTGAACAAAATTTAAGTCATGGAAAAAATAATTTATTTCCATCAACTGACAAAGAAATAATGAACGCAGTTAAAAAGGAATGATTTGAACTATCCTTTTCCAAAAGCATAACTGCACCAAAACAAAAATAAAAAGAAAAGGTAGGAATACTTATGATAAAGTTGAGCTTTCCTCAAGGTCTCGAGAACAGGAAAAAATTAACATAAAATTAAAATTATTTTTTATTACAAATTTTCGTTAGCTTCTTATTTTTCCACATCTAGAATTTTTCGTTTTTTTCGAGTCACTTTTACCCAGGTAG